CTAATAATTTTTGATTAAGTAATCAAATAATTTTGTATCATATTTTGAATTTCTTTTTTTTCAGGGGTGAATATATCGTGTATACTGATGGTGACATGGATTATCCCATATCAAAACCAAGAGAGTGGCTCGTCAACGAGTTTAATTTTGATAATGTAGGTCAGGCTATATTGGCCCTCTTTACAGTGGCTACTTTTGAAGGTTGGCCAAAGTAAGTAAACTCTTATTATGTACTTACATGACAGTAATAGCTGGAAAATAGGTCACTTCTTAATTGGTGTTGATGGTTGTATAGTCGTGCATGATAATTTCTTGCTTGTACATTGATGTACTGCAACAAATGTGTGGTTATCAGGAGAATGTATGCGCAAGGGCAGTACAGTAATCATATCAACTTACACATAGAATAGTTTGCAGTATTCTAGTGGTAACCTTAATATTATTATTATTATTATTATTATACATCTTTTCCCTGCTTGTAATAATCATAATTTAATGGTAGATAATTGTATGAAATGAAAAAGTTTCATTTTGTGGTAACATTTGTGTTCAGTGACCTGATTCTATTCTATTATCATGCTGGTCGTGCTTCTGCATTTGAAGTAAACAAAGAGAAGTTTTTGAATATGATGTAAACGTGATGTACACTTTCCAAATAAGGAAGACATTCAAACGCTTCTGTAACACTTTCCTACATGTCCTTTCTCTGTTTTATAGGCTGGTAAATTCTCTGTTTTTTAGATGTACATGTATATTAACAAATATATACAGTGGTCCAAGAATTTATATTTCTTCAGATAACTGTACATGTATATATCAATTGCCTGTAGGAATAATATCAGATTACTCTTTATTTCCTCAGATTACTTTATGTAGCAATTGACTCCAATGAAGTTGACAAGGGTCCGATTTACAACTTCCGTCCCGCCGTTGCCATTTACTTCTTTGTATACATTATTGTAATTGCATTTTTTATGGTCAACATCTTTGTTGGTTTTGTTATTGTGACATTTCAAAGTGAAGGAGAACAGGAATACAAAAACTGTGAATTGGATAAAAACCAGGTGAGTTAGATGTAGATTTAGTCTGTTGCTCACACTGCTCTTGTGTAATAAATTTGTATAATTATGTAAACAAACAAACAACAAAACAAACAAATATTGTAACTTGAAACACATGA